TTTTTTTTTTTACTTTATTTACTTAATTTTTATTAATGAAAATGTTATATCTTACTCCACTCAGCGTAGCAATCTTATACAGGCCATATGCATACAGCTCCACAAATCCAGATGGTCCTCCCACCACCAGGATATTGAGCCTGCAAATAAACATCACACATTATCAGTCACAATACAACATCAGAAAACACTCAATCTTAACCAAGCAGATCAGTGCATAAAACACTGACCTCACTTCCCCCAAAAGGTTTGTGACTTCATCTGATTTCTCTTCACTGCAAAAGACAAAAAAATAACACATAAGAATTAAGCAGAGCGGACACACAGTCACACTGACACATGCCGCATGCAGATGACCAATCATAAAGAGTATGACAAAGAAAAAGACAAATAATCAGCATATTAAGCACATAAAATGTCCTCTTACCTAAATATCTTTGATGTGGTGCTGTAGCTGAACACAAACACAGCACAAAGGAAAATGGAAAAGTAATAAAAACAATTACAAAATATAAAAACTAAAGAGTGACCAGTACTTCTCATTCAGCCATCTGGAAGACAAACAAAAGTTCAGAATCTCACCTCTTAGGTAAAGTGGGTAACTTTGGAAGAAAACGACTGGACTCATCTTCAGACTCGCTGAATGAGGACAATGTGCTAGAGAAGAAAAAATAAACCAGATTAATGAAACCACGTAATCAATAGAGAAAGAAAATGGATCCTCTCTATGTAAAAACTCACACCTGCTGTCACCGTGCACCTCCGTCCAGTGCATGCAGGATGCTGGGTATTCAACAGGGAACAGGTGGAGGATTTCTGCCTTCTCTGCATCACACAGCACCACTTGCTTTGTGTCTCCCACACTGAATGCCAGGACTGCAGACAGCAATCATTTAACATGACAATGGTGGCTTGGTAGATACCTCAGTATATGGTTGAAATTTAATTTTAGGTTTTTAGTTATGTAATGTAAACAATAAGACATTAAACATTGCTTTAAATCTAGGGTTTTAGTTGTGAAATCTGCAATGAATCAGCAGCAGCACTTGTTTGACGATGAAATTTGTTCTACAAGACGATCATAAAAGGTTAGATATACAAATATATACAAGAATATTTATGTAAAAATAGTAACAAAAAGAACAATGATAACAAGCACAAGATAATATAAAGTTCTATGTACATTTAGAAAAATAAATAATAAAATTAATCTATAATACTAAATGGCAATTTTAAAAAAAATTATATTTTGGACACATCTGGTTAATTTGGACCTGGGCATGTTATAAATTAGAAATGATATAAAAAGTGGCCATAAGATGAATAAATTACATGAATGGTGTATTCATGAGTGAATGAATAAAAGTAAAGTACACTTCAATAAGACTGAAGTGATATGTCTCAATGTTATTTTAGTATCAATTAGGGCTGCACAATTAATCGAATTTCTAATCGCAATTACAATTACGGATGCCACAATTACATAATCGTTCAAAGTCCACTTATGTTATTCTGCATGCTTAAGATGCTTTTTGTTTATTTTCATATAAAAATATGGCATGCAGTTGCTTCAAACAAAGGTGTAAACATCATTCATTTAATCGTAAATTAATAATCGCAATTACAATTTCAAAGGAATAATCGACAATTATGATTTTTGTCATAATCGTGCAGCCCTAGTATCAATAGATTTTATTCGTTTTTATTAATATTCTTAAAAAGATATATATATTTTTTTAATTAAAACTAAAACTGTTTTAATTTTACTACAATGTTTCCATATCCGTCTCAAACACCTCTCTTAAACCAGTGGAGTGCCTTTTTTTTTTCCCAAGTAAAGTTTTTATGGTTTTGTTAACTATAATAACCCTGATATGTCCAATTATAATGATACAAAAAAAGGCAGTGAAATATTATTTGAGTTTACCTTTCCCATCAGGTCTCCAGGCCAGTGATGTGATCTCTTTTCCTGTGTTCTCATTGGGCAGTAAACTCCACACCCGCTGAAAATTGGCAAGCCGATGCAGGAGAAGCTGTAATGACAGAATAGTCTAATGAACCTCCATTACAATCCTACAGGCTAGGATCTATTGAGAGTCTGGTTTAACTGAAGACAGGTAGGTGTACATCTATAAAAGACCAAACCTCTCCTGCAGTGTTAGCCAGGGCGATCAGATCTCTGTTAGGAGACCAGGCCATGTACAGAATGGGGTTGGGAAGCTGTTTCTCCCCGACCTGGCGAAAAACAGGCATTGCTGAACCCTGCAGAAGGAAAGAAGTCTATTAGTACAGACACCATCAGTACTGGTAACAGTTTTACAGAGCATTGATCAGTTTAGGATCACAGACTGCTGTCATCTGCTGCTTGACATGCGTGACAGCAGTTATGATGAACGCAGATTAATCCATAGTAAACTGAAACTTTTCATACACTACAGTCGTTTATGACAAAAAAACAAACAAACAAAAAGTTAACTATAGTAACTGCTGTTCCTTCAATGCTGCACAACATTAGCCTGATTTGAAGACTTCACGCACTTACTAGATAAACGACGACTAACGATAAACTCCGCAATCAAGCTCGTCTTCTAAATTATATTCGTATACAGAAACTGATTTAAAACTTTAATATATTCTTATTTGTACTGAAAATACAATCATGTTCACAAAGATAGAGTATAGCAGAGCGACCAATGAAACATGACTCTGACCGCCACTAAAATGATGACTACGGAAAATCGAATGGGTCAAAAAATATTTTAAAACCGCGAAACGACGTTCCTAATTCTTCTTCTTCTTCTTCTTTTATTGACAACCGCACTTAACGGTGCATTACTGCCATCATCAGGTAGCTTGGATCAGAAACTTTTATTTTATTTATTTATTTTTTTTAATGATTTTTTTTTTTTTTATGATTTTCATTAGGCTTTTTTCAGGATTTCAGAATACTAAAATGTTCAGTAACACATTTGAAAGCAGGTATTCTGCCAATCTGAGACAGCACAGGAAGATTAAAATGTTGTTATTATTTACTCATTATGATGCCATTCCAAATTATTGTATCTATCTATCTATCTATCTATCCTATGAAGTGGTTGATTGATTGACTAATCAGGCTCATGCAGTTCTTGAGAACTTTTTATTGACAACCGCACTTAACGGTGCATTACTGCCATCATCAGGTAGCTTGGATCAGAAACATTTCCTATATCTCTTAACATTTGAACTTTTCTATTAGATAGCAAGGGTGAATATCACGAAACCTGTCAACTAGCTTACGTTTTCGGTTTGGTTTAAAAGCAAAATAAATATAAAAAAATTCGTATAAAGATCATTATTTTTTAGAAGCACAAAGATTTTCAATAACGCTTTTTATTACCGTAAATGATACAGATTATGTGTGCTTTCATTACAATGTTTGGCCAGTTGTGTTTTATAAACCGTCTTTATATAACTTCTCAAAACACTTTTCACTTTCTAGCTAGTTTATTTAACTGATCTACAAATAATCCCCAACACTGGATAAGTGCATCACAGGACAATTCGGTCATTTTTCTGTCATTAACATTTCCACTACAGTGACACTTCCAGCACATATCAAATTATGAATGACAAATAATTTACTATACAAATAATATGTGCGATGGACGTGAAGGTGGTGTGGAAGGACCAACATTAAGGAATAATAATAATGGCCAGGTCATTTGTGTTGCAAAGGCTAGTTTCAGAGCTAGATATGATATTTTCACACTTTTTGTGTAATTTGACAAAATTACAGATTGGGGATGACTCATTATAAAAATTATACTGTTTACAAGTAATCTTTCTTTTTCTTTTCTACCCACATCACATATAATTAATGATAGATTTATCAGGCAAAATTACTGGTGAAAAACACTACAGAAATGTACTTAATCCATATGTGTTTTGTTGACAATATCTATCTATCTATCTATCTATCTATCTATCCTATGAAGTGGTTGATTGATTGACTAATCAGGCTCATGCAGTTCTTGAGAACTCAGTGACTCAATATAACAGTTAACAGCTCCAGAAATATTACCGGTGAATAACAACTTAAATTTCCATCTTAGTCATCCAGACAGGGTGTCACAAATCCAAAGAATATGAAGCTGCTTATCTTGCTATATCATCAAGTATAGACAGTAAGAAGTGTTAATAGTCTACCTGTGCAGCTTTTGAGCTTGTAAACTTTGTGGCAGGACGTTACAGCTTGTTGTGTCCTCATTCCTATATTAAGTACTCTGTTAATAGCAGGGTGTCTTAATGGGATAACAGTGTATTTAGGGAGTGAGCAATTGATATGAGGTTAAATTAAGAATCTTTGGTGACTGACACACATTGGTTCTGAAAGTGTCATGTCTACGTCCGTAATGGATTCGTAATGGTGAATAATACTTAAAATGTAACAGTACTTTACATAAAATTTGTGCACTATGAAATAATTTACTAGGTAATATGAATCTACTTTTGGGTTCTAACATAAAGTCAAGAGTCAAAACTGTGACTGAATTGAGACTCTGCACATTCATTATGAATATTACGTTTCGTGGACAAATTTTACTATGTAAGTTTTAAGTTCTTAAATAAACGGACAAAAATAAAGACATAATGAGAAGTAAAAGAAATTGTGAAGCAAATAAATTAAAAGTCAATTGTTTATTTGCTTACCTGCATTGTAAGTGCTTATTAGGTGCCCTATACTGTAGATTTGTATTGTCAGAAAGTGCTTTGGTGGCTTGTTTTGAACCAAACAGTCAAGTGGGTGTCTGCAAAATGCATTTACATGCCTTTGTGGATATGAAAAAGATGTATGTGTGTCTTTGATGTGGTGTGGGCAGTGGCACATTGATGCTACACACCCCAGAGCTCTCTCTCTCTCTCTCTCTCTCACTCACCGTGTCTCTCTCTCTTGCTGTGTAACCTGAGCTAGGGGCCAAATTTAGCGGTGCTCAGTAAGCGGTAAGGGTCCGAGACAGATGGGACAGCAGGCCACTCTGCAGCTACTCTAACCCGCTCACCTCAGAGCACTCAGCAAAACAAGACAAAAGAAACATAGGACAGAGAAAAGACCCACAACTCCATGAAGAAAGAAACACATCTTTTCTAATTTTCTGGCATAGAGAAGTTCAGAAAAACTGGAACCTTCTGACGGGGACGGACATTTGCAAAAACTGACTTAAGGTAAATGGCTATTTTTTTTTAATATATATATGAAATGTCTTTGTCTTTTTGCTTTTGTCTGTAAGTAGAAGATTACATGTGACTTGTTTCATTCTGCTTATACAAAACTATAAATTGAAGTAAATTGTATAATTAGATTCAGAACTCTCAATGAATGGTCATCGGAGATATATGGTTTCAGCTTTACATTTACTTCACTACTTCATTCAGTTTCATCCACCATCAGATGAATACTTCTACACTTTTACAAATGATTCTGATAAAGTGCATTCAACTGTTTGCGTCAGAGATGGAAAATCAAGCATGTCAGTCTGTCAGCCTTGGCTTTCACAATTGTTTGGCATATCATATTCATATTCCGCTATCTATAATTCATCAATACAGAATAAAGATGCCATAATTTTCACATGAATAATGTAGAAGCAACGTGTGTGTGCGCTTATGTGTAAAAAAAAACTACTCTTGGTGGGGAGGTGGTTGCTGCTGTGAAATGCAGCCCTTGAGGATTAAAAATAACAACAGCTGGTCTTCAGGACGCCATGATGGGGAGAAAGTCACACTGTCACGTCCCTTCAAATGCACACATGCCCGCACACCTTTACATACAATACCTGGACACTTTACATAAACATTGTGTAAACAAAGTCAACTATAACAAAACCTGGAGACATGATTATAATACAGCACTGCAGGACATCAATTAATAGGCCATAAATAATAAATATACATGTGTAAATAAAGTTTACAGTGGAAATGTAGTCATAAAGTTAGCAGGGTCACATTAATGTGTCTCAGACATGTGAATGGAGTGTTCACACACACCAGCCAGTTCCCAGTTCTGCACGCTGAGGTGTGTTTTCTCAGAGACCTGATCTGTTGGTTGAAGGGCTTCGCTATGCTGTAGACACTGTCTCATATTAATGTTTCACCAGTGTGCAGTATGTCAGACCAAACACTTTCCCTGAATTATGGCGAAGGATCCTCTCCACAGGTTATTGAGGATACCATCATTCACTGTTGGATTTAAATGTGTTTTTCTCAAAAGTCATGAAGCAATATTTTTCAATCATAAAGCAACCTTAAAACCCTTCCTGAAACCTAGACAACCTACCATCATACACAAAATACTGCTATATATTTATATACAATGTTTTATTTAGACCTATATGTTTACATAAAAAATATCTACTTATAAATAAGTAATGTCATTATTTTTATTCAAGAACTCTCTTATGCTCACCGAGGCTTTATTTATTTGATCAAATGTACAGCATAAATGATGATATTGTGAAATATTATTACAATTTAAAATAACAGCTTTCTATTTTAATATGTTTTAAAATGTAATTTATTCCTGTGGTGCCAAAGCTGAATTTTCAGCAACCATTACTCCAGTGCTGGGTGAAGGCACTGAAAAAATAGATATAGATTGATGCAGGGACAGTGAAGAGTAGGTGATAGACAAGGGAATAAAAGAGATAAAGTCAGCATGAGTGTTAAATGGCATTCATGCCTTGTTGGGCCTCATGACAAGCCTTTGTTAATGCCGGACAGCTGTGCCCAAAGTATGCCAGCCTGAGTCATCATACAACAACTGTCCATGATCAATCTCAAATTTTAAGTGAATGAATGTGGCTTAAATTGCAGAAATTGCTTGTCTTTAGGACTATGATTCTGATATTCCTGATCTTTAAAAAAAATTTAAAATAAGATGGTCTGCAATTTTTTCTCACTTTTCTCTTTTGTGATTTGTGTATTGCAGGATGCAGGACGGGAGCTGGAATGACACACTCCCCATCTCTCTGCTGATGAAAGAGGCGTGTCCTCCAGGGGGCGTATCTTTGGAGGGGGATGGGGGCATGCTTTCAGTGCCACCTCTTGATGGCGAGGTTTACTTGGACTCAATGGCTGAGCTAGAGAGTGGGGACGGGGACTTTCCAGAACTTTCTGCTTTCCTGAGCCGGGACGAGATCAGCCTCAGTCTGGACCTGGCTCGTGAGGCCATGAGTGACGCAGATGACCCAAATGACCAAGATGAACCCCCCGTTCCCACAGAGCACCTGCCCCTTTACTCAGAAACCAAAGACCCCTCTCTCCCAGATTCAGCATCTCAGTCAACTGACGCCACATCAAGTAAAGTCACATCCAATCAGAGCATGCCACTCAGCAGGCCTAACCAGCCCTGCACTGCTCTTGAATCACCCGAAAAGTTTGTCTGCCAAAAATCCATCACACCAGTATATAAGCAGGACCGTCCCCGGCTGGTCCACGGAGGCCTAGAGCTCAATGAACGAGCTACTTCAGCTACCGAGTTCTGCAGCCGAGCTGCTACCTTCATTGAGGAGCTCTCTTCCATCTTCAAAGGCTCCACACGTGTGGATCAGCAAGGTGATGAAGACTCCTCTTCGCCCGACAGTGGCTACTTGTCTCCAAGGAGCCACCGGCTGGCCGTGCAGCAGGCTCAGCCACCTTCATCCTCTTCATCTTCATCTGAGCCCCAGCAGGAAAGTATGCACCAGGGACTGGCTGATGTTGGGTCTGATGAGCATCAGGGCCGAGGGGTAAGTCTAGATGGACCCATGGCTCCTCCACGCTTCACCCAGAAACTGAAGAGCCAGGAAGTGGCAGAAGGAAGCCCTATTCGCCTTGAATGCAGAGTGACTGGAAACCCCCTTCCACTAGTCAGGTAGGATAACCTGGTTTATGCTACTCAGGTATTGCCAGTATCCCTTAGCATTGGGTTGTGTTGTTGTCTTAAATGTACCTAATAGCTTCTATGAAAGCAGGCATTGTGGAATATCAGTATTGAAGTTTAGGCGTGGCCTAGTTTAGAGTGCAACAGTGCCTGTCCACTTTTACAGCAGCCTTGGTTCCAGAAGTTTTTTTCATTAATTTTTTTCATGGGTATTTTTTTTTTTTGTTTAAGTCTGTGAAAGAGTTAAAAGCCATGAACCAAACCAACAAGCTACAAGGTGAATCACAACATTACAATCTTTGATTTGGAGCAAAAAAGTATTTGGAAATCGGGAAGAAATGTCGGAATTTCCTGTGTCTACCAGAAGGCATTCACAGCAATCAGTGGACTGTATTATTGGAGGAGGGAATAGTGAATGAGGATATAGGAGGGCGTTTTCGATACAGCCTATGTCATTTTTAGTACTTCATGGGAGTGGGTGGGCACTAAAGTATTCTTCTGGCGCAAGTTGCTTGTCGCGATTCTCTGACTGTTGAAGAATTCCTTCAACAAAAGCATATACCATCAGTTAACAACCTTGTAGCTTACAGTGGGTCTGTATGAAGGTTTATAAGTTATTGTTCAAGATCAACTCCCTTAGACAATATGAATGGGATTTTTACTACCAGAACCCGACTGTCATAATGTCAATTAGCAACTTGTTAGGAACTTTTTAAAGTACAAAGTGGTTTCAAAATTCTTGTTTGTGGTAATTTGTTGTGGTTATGTCATTTGAAAATTTCTTGAAGTAACGTTATAATAATGAAATAAAATTTAAAAAAAGAAAAGGAAAATTCTCAGGGGAATCTATGGCTTGAAAATGCCATTCTCTGTCTATTCTCAGCTCTGTTGCACCGACAAAAACATACTGGGTATAAAATAGAACTAAATTGTGTCATATGAGGAAAACGTTAGGAAATTTTGATGAACTTCATGTCCTTTTTTATTCATCAAGCCTGTGTAAGGGAGAAACTGTCTGCCCCTGGCATAGATTACTTGCTATTAGAATAAACTGCATTGTTTACTGTGTGAATGAGATCTTAGACAGTGAGCAAGACAGTTATGATGCCACTTTTGCTTGGTGATTCAGAAATTTGATATTTTTTCCTGCCAGCTCTGGAAGGTTAACAAACAAACAGATGCTATTTTTAGTGATACCGCTGCAGTCTTGCTGGTGCGGCGCCAAACTCAGTCCCTCCTGCAAGTGACTCCTCAGTACTGTGTAACCTCAGAATGATTCCTGCAAATGTTCCAGAGGAACACAAACACAAAGGGAGTGTATGAATTATTCAATGACTTTCAGGAGAGTCGACTTTTAAATAGAATTTTTGTCAGTAATTGTTTGAGGTTCTTGTGCAATGCAAATCTTTATATATGTTTGTGCTGTACAAAACTAAAGTGACAATGACAATACTTATATTTTGTAGATTTACCATCCAAAACATGTAATAAAACAATACATATAAGAGCTTTTGTTTTGACTTCCTTTGGGGAGTTCAAGTGTTAATTAGTGGGATCAGAGCCCTTCCAACCCCCCCCCATAAATCAGACACTGAACATAACCTTATCAATGTCTCTACTTTCTATAAATTTAAGCTCACTAGGCAACTTACCATTTATTTGTTGATGGTCTAAACAACTTAAATATCATACTAGATCAGATCTACCATATTTTCTCCATTTTGGCATTGCAATGTTGAAATTCATCATTGTTTGCCTATAAAGCACACACATTATTGAGATGGTTGCACTGAGAAGAAATCAGGGGAGATCATCTGAGAGAGCATGTTATGTGTGTACAGATGTTTCAGAGATATTCTTGATGGTGAACTGCTACTTGAGAGGGATGTTCCACAGTGTGTGTGGGCATAGTGTCCAATGTGGAAATTAGTGGTGACAAACAGATCAAAGAGATGTCTGTGTGGTCCCATTACCCACCTTAAGAATCATGTTGCTGCTGTTTGAGTGGGGATGTTTACTTGCATTTAGTAGATGCTTTCATTCCAGTAACTGCTGGTTTCTTGGAGCTCATTATGTCTTGCAAAGAAGTGATGAGGTCTGTGAACTCTCCAGCTCTTTTGTTAATCTGCTAGCCCTATCCCTCTCATTAAAATTAAAAGTGCAACTCAACACCTTCCCTTAGTGGTTTTAAAAGGTCATTTTCATTAGAGCTGATCTCTCTACTCCACTGATAACACTGAGGAAATATTCTTTGAACAACCAGTTGCTATCAGTCAGATGGTTACCTTAATGTGATGCTTATTGACGTTGTTTCTACTCGCATGTAAGTCTGTTGTTGTTGTTGTTTCCACTGTCAACAATCCCAGTGGATATTCAGCAGTGGAAATACACAGATATTGACACAAGCCTTGTGGAGTGAGCAGCGGCTGACCAGCTTTTTAAATAGAATCTCCAAATTAAAAAAAAAGTTAGATATACATTTAAAATGTGAGAACTGAAATGAACAAAAGCATGGGATGGGATAGAAACCAAGATGTTGTTTTTTTTGGATGCAAGTGTAAATGTGTAAATACAGTGATTATAATGATGATTATACTCATCCAACAGGGAATGATCTCAGATCTTTGGCTAATGTTCAAGGTTCAAGGCAAGCTTCTCTCAAAATTATGAACAAACGTTCTTCCTGTAATGTTAACAGAATGTTCATTCAGTGTTATCTGGCTTTTAATAATGTTCTCAAAAGATTAGAACAAAAATTTATGAATTTATACATTGTTAATGTGACTTTGTTTTTCTTGAAGCATCTTACTTGGACATTTGTCTAACATTTTTTTATATTATACTCCTTGTTTCAGATTGTTGAGAGATCATTCAAAAGTAATGTCCCCATAATGTTTGCAAAATGATCAAATGGAATTATAACATTCGCATAACCAAGAAAAAAGCGAATTGAAAAAATATATATATTTTAAAATCCGGATGTTTTGAATGTTAAGAGAACATTCAGAAATGTCATTTTCATGTTAGCAGAATGTTCTTAGAACATTTTTGTTAGTTGGGTATGTATTTTTGTGTGGCAGGGAATATACTGTATAGAGACCCATGCGGAATAGACCAGCTGTTTTTTGTTGTAATTGTTGTATTAGCATCACATACTGTATGCAGCACTATTTATTGTAACTGCAACAAACAGAATTTTCATTGTACAGTATTTTCACACTTGAATTAATTTGAATAAAAAAATTTCAATTAAAAACTAAATTAATGATGACTAATTGAAATCTAATTTACATAAGGAGAAGCACTACATTTACATCCAAATAGTAATTAAACTATACAGAATGTGATCAAGTGTAGTCATACACTGCTTATCTGAATTCAATAAAATGTACCAAACTGAAAGTGCTGCTTGTGAGCCTAATGTAAATGAAATAATGTGTGAATTCATTCCAATTTTGTATGTTGCTTCTTAAAATCCTCTATTGCAAAAGATTTTGATGATAAATGGGTTTATTGTGCATTTTCACCATATTTTTAAGTTGCTTACACAGGCAATGTGTTATGTTGCAAACAGATAATTTGATTAGATTATGCGTTGAAGACATGTGGCATGAAACAGGTTTTAGTTTTGCTATAGTAAAATGCATTCACTAGCTAGACTAGCATTAATCCAACTCTAACCACAATAAACCAGTCTGAACCAGCATGTAAATTAGTAAGTTTAGCCTGCTCTTATCAGTTGTTATTATAGAAATGATGTAGATGAACTGAAGGAAAAAGTATAGCAATCATTTTGCCCAGTAGGGTCAAAAAAGCAGGGTCAAATTTTCAAGTGAAAATGTTGAGGTTTATAGCCTGGCTTCAGATGTTTAATGTTCTGTGAGTTTGAGTGCATAAACACAGAGTTCTGTGTGCTCTGATCTGTACAACACACACTGTTTTCCACCCCAGCAACAGTAGGTTTGACGTTGAGCTGGAGAGGGGCAACAGTAAATGGGGATTTCTGCCCACATGGGGTTGCATAATGAAAGGGGACGGAGACACACTTAGACTACACGGACGTGGTGGTTGCACACTGGAAATGCAAAGCCTCATCCTTCTCCCTCTGCCACTGCAACCGGGCCTCATCCTGTCAATATAAATAGGCCTCTGGCCGGCATGGAGGAGCCAGGCTCTGGAATGCTATCCATGCCATGACTTGACACTTTCCATTTGGCTTTACTTTCTCCACCTTTCTACACCTTCTTAGGGAATATGTAGGTGTTGGAAAGAGAGAGCGCATAGAATAGCCCCACATGGAGATATAGCATGTGACTTGCCATGTATCTAAGATTGACTGACCTCTAGGTGGGAGTGTTGCATCTCAGGTTCGAGTCAGATTGCGCAAGACCAGGGCCCGTATGTATAAAACTCATTTTTTTTTTTAATGCTATGCATTGTGCAAAATTATCACAAATAATTACTGATGCTTCATTTTCTATTGGTATGTCTCCTCGTTTACAGTTGGAGCAATGATGTGAACATGAGTTCAATCAGTGACTCCAACAACTCCATGAAAGTGGGGTTAGTGCCACAATATGTAAGAACCTGCTTACTGTGTCATCACCGGTGCATTGCTGCATTTTTCCAATTTTACAGCCAAAAAAATTTAATTACTACATTTCTGCAGTTAGAGCATTGACTTGTTGAGTGGAAGAGATTATTACATTTCTTACTTTGTCAGTTACAAAATAAAAAAATACTTTTTGATCTTGACAATCAAGTTTGTATCGTTTTATCAACTCCATATCATCATATAACTCCAATATGTCATATCTTCGCTGGAAAATGTTTGTTTCCTCCTCTGTGCTACCATCTTGTTACTCCTAACTAGGTTAGGAGACCTCTCCAGCTCTCTTAAATAATTTAGGAGCTGAGACCTCTTTTAACACTTAGGAACCTTTATGAATCACTCTTATTCTTAAGTCTAGGAATAAGAGTAAAATTACGTC